GCTATGTTTGCATAACATGTAGTTGTGTGGCATTCATCGTTGGTACACTATATATATATGTATACATATACATATGTGTGCATGTATGTATGTATGTATGTATGTATGTATGTATGTATGTATGCACGTAGGTATGTATGCATGTATGTCCGTATGTATGTATGCATGTATATATGTATGTATGCATGTATGTATGTACGTATGTACACCAGTAAACGTCCCTGCGTGTCTGTGTGTATGTGTGTATATATACACACAGATAGACAGATGTATGTGTATACATATACCTATGTGTGTATGTATATATATATATATCTTGTGATATGTATATAGATCGATTGCTTGGTTGCTTGGTTGCTTGCTTTGCCTGGCTTGCCTGGCTTGCCTTGCATGCCTTGCATGCCTTGCCTGCCTTGCCTGCCTTGCCTGCCTTGCTTGCCTTGCTTGCCTTGCTTGCCTTGCTTGCCTTGCTTGCCTTGCTTGCCTTGCTTGCCTTGCTTGCCTTTGCCTGTGCCTCCTGCTTGTGCCTGCCTGTGCCTGCCCTGCCTGTGCCTGCCTGCCTGCTGGCTGCCTTCCTGCCTGCCTGCTTGCCTGCTTGATGAATTGACTGGTTGAAATTAAATTATCAACATAGAGAACCACGCTCGAGGACATCCGAGATGCCGTCAGCCTCCAGACCGAAGAGAGCGTTGTAGCGGCGCGGGCAGAGGATCGGGGAGTCCAGGAAGACACGTCGGCAGGCCTCCGCGGAGGGGTCGAGACGGTTTCTCAAAGTGCCCCCAAGATGGGGATGAAGGTGGGTGGGGTAATCCCAAAGAAGAGTCCTTATATAAGGAATCGGTAATCCTACCGACCTTCATCCCACCTGTTGACGCCTCTAAGTTTAGTGTTTGGGGCTCATGGGGTTTAGGGTTTAGGGCTCAGGGCTTAAGGCAACGGGTTCGTAATAACGGGTGTATCAAACTTCAGGTTCACAGTTCTATAGGCTGTAGATTCTAGGGTCAAGGCTTTCTGCTTCAGCAGGCCTCCGGGGAGGGTTGCAGGAGGCCCCTCTCCGGGCCGACTGGGCACGTCAAGGACATCACGTTGGCCTCGCGGATCGGATCAATCGGGGGATTCGTGGCCTGCGCAAAGAGCTGGAAGAAGTAGTCGAAAGGCTGGCGAGGCATCCGGGACATACCTGAATGTCGAGAAGGCAGACCCTGTTTGAAGGACCTCCATAAGAAGATCAGCGAATATCATGAGAAGGAGCCCCAAAACAATTGACCCTAACACCCCAAAGCCCCCCAACCCCGACAACATCCTTAAACTTTCTGGAAGTAACACCCCCTCGGCCCCTAAAATCCCGAAACCCTAAACCCTACTAAACCCCTAAACCCTAAAAACCCTAAAAACCCTGAAACCCTAATCCATAAACCCAAAAAATTCCTGAAACCCTAAACCCGAAACCCTGATCCCTTAAAACCCTAAAGCCCCGAGTCCCGGGGCCCAGGTGCAGGCCAGGGCCACATCGGAGCCCATGGATCCCAGAGGCTCGGCGCCGGTCTTCACCATGGGAGCCAGGAGCATCTCCACCTTCGTCGCAGGAGACTGGGTTTCGGGTTTAGGGTTTAGGATTTAAGGTTTAGGGTTTAGGGTTTCGGATTTAAGGTTTAGGATTTAGGGTTTAGCCTTTAGGGTTTGGACTAAGACGAAGAAGGATTAGAAGGATGATTGTTGTGATTGTTCATGTAGCTTTTGTCCTTCTTGTTCTTGTTCCTGCTGTTTTTGTCTGTGTCTCTTTCTTCGTTATACATGCCAATCCAAAAGATATAATACAAATATATATATATATACACATACGTCTGCATGTGTACGTATGGACACGCCACCTTCTCGTAGGTGTAGCCGGTGTAGGTGAGCAGAGGCAGCACCCTTTTGTTCACCAAGGTGGTGTCCGAGGCATCGAAGCTGCCGGGCTCCTCATCGAGCAGCTCCTCGATGAGCGCCGCGTCCGTCTTGGGCTCCGGACCCAGTCGGTCCTTGATCATCATCATCATCACCATCATCATCATCGCCATTCTGATCGTTATTGGCTGGTTCTTAATCATATATCTGTTTATATCAAGGCTCAGGGTTTATGGGCTTTCGTAAGTCTTGGGCCTTGGGGCTTAGGGCTCAGGGTTTAGGGCTTCGAGCCTTGATCTCGATGCTGTGAGTCTTCAGGAAGTCAGCGTAGGGCTGCTTCTTCGCGTAGCGCATCTTCAGCTCGTTGTCCTCGATGAGCTTCCCCTCGCTGAAGTCCACCAAGAGCATGCGGCCTGGCCGAAGACGTCCTTTGAACCTTCTTGCTGCCCAGTTCACAGGCCACTGTGCAGAAATGACCAGCTTAGCAGCTGCAACCGGATTGAAGAAGGGTTCACAGCTCAACTTCTGAGGAGCTGCAACCCTAAAACTTAACCCCCTACCCGGTCAAGCGCCGAGGAACTGCACCTCCTCCTGTGGGACATCCACAACTCCTACCTCGGAGGCGAGAATCAGCCGCTTGTCCTTTGCAGGGCTTGGTGGGTTAGGGCTTAATGGGCTTCTGAGATGTTACGTTGCTCGGTTTAGCTTATGCTGGTTGCAGGCATAAGGTTTTACAGGCTAGCATTGTTGGATCCCAAAGTTTTATGCGCAGGGCTTTCAGTTGATGTTGGGACTCAGTGGTTCCGGTGTAGATAAAGCCTTTTGGCAGCTTGAGGGTTACAAGACTTGCCTGCCATCGGTGTAAGCCTTTCTGGGCTTGAAGCTTGAGGATTTCTGGGGACAAACAAGATCGAGGTGAGCCCTCAACCTAGGCCGACTGTCGGTTTTAGGAGAGATACTATCACCAGCTACTCCCAAACTTGAGGAATAATAACTGAGAATTATACCCGATTATCATACCAATGTCCTAAGCTCTAGGGATCATGATTGAAAATCATACCCCCCCCTTGAGGTCCCTATACGCCCCACTGTCTCCTTGGTGATGTAGAAGCGGCCTGGGCGGAGGCCATTTCGATCCAGCGTGGCGCCGAACTGGATACCATCGGTGAAGCAAACCAATGCAGGGCCGTCCCAAGGCTCCATGACGCAGGACAGGTACCTCAAAGTTTATAAGGTTTAGGGTTTAAGGCTTGGGCAGAATGTAGGGTTTAGGATATTATTCGCGCCCTTTAGCCTACTATCCAGCTTTGATGATGGAACCCGAACACGAAATCGTGAAAAAAGGGTTGCTACAAGGGGGACCTAGGTGGGGGTTTCCGAAAATAGGGGACCCAAATATAGTACCCTAAATAATAGGATCCTTATTATAAGGACCCCAAAATTAAGGTACCCCTTACTTTCGGAAACTCCCAAATCGTGAAAAGGGTTGCCAAAAAGGGGGACCTAGGTACTTGTAGAAAGCTTTCTTCTCGGGCTCCATGCGATCGGCGTTCTGCCAAGCTTCCGGGATCACCATCCTAAGTTGTCCTTTAAGCCCTCTGAAAAGCATTTACTATTATGGTTCTCTACAAAATAGTAAGGGAAATTAAAGAAGATCCCAAAAGACTACCCAGCATCATAATGACCTCCGCGAGCTCGCGGGTGCCTGCGGCTAGCAGGAGCTCCACGACATTATCCAGCAACGCCGAGTCGCTGCCGATATCCTCGTCCACGGGGAAGAAAGCATCCAGCTGCGCACCACCAAAGGCTGTGGTGTCGTTCATCAACGCCTCCCGGGTGCGGATGGAGTTGCGGTTGCCTGCTAGAGTGTTGATCTCGCCGTTGTGGGCAATGCGTCGGAAAGGGTGGGCACGGTTCCAAGACGGGAAGGAGTTCGTCGAGAAACGCGAGTGCACGATTGCCAAGAAGGCTGTGCACTTCTCCGCCTTGAGGTCCTTAGTTCACCAACTCAGGCTGGTTTAGGCTCAAACATGTGTAACCTCCGCATTTCGCAAGGCAAAGCAAACTAAAACATGGGCTGAGCAAAGTTTGCACAAACTCGGTCACCAAAAGTCCAAGTAGTACTCGAAAAGTTGGTCGGGCTTGAACTGGCCCTTGTACACAATCGTGCGGGAAGACAGGGAGCACACAAAGACCTGGATGAGGGTTTTCTGAGGTGGTAGCGGTTCACACTTTCACGTTCAAGCCTGGCTGGCAGAAGGTTCAGGGCTTGCGGCTTCCGCGAAGTAGGGTATCAGCAACGATCTGTCTCATGGTGTGCTATAGTATATATATATATATACACATATATAACAAATGTAAATATATATACATATATAAGTGTTCATTTAGTTGTATTTGTATACACGTGACTTTTTAAAACAAAAACAAAAAAAAACAAGCACTGCGCTTGAGTGGTCTTTCGAGTCCTTGATTTTCTGGGACGCCCGCCTCGCGGTCGCGCAGCGCGACGGCGCGGCGGAGGAGGAAAAGGCGCGTCTCCAGGTTGAGACCTGCGAACTTGTCCTTTAAGCCCTTTGAAAACTATTTACTATTATGGTTCTCTACAAAGTAGTAAGGGAAATTAAAAAAGATCCCAAAAGACAACCCAACCTGCGAACTGCTGGGAAGAGATCTTGGCCGGACCTGCTGCCAGGTTCAAAATTTCGGGTTTAGGGCCCCGGGCTCCGGGCTTTAGGGATCTAGGGATTTAGGGTTTAGGGTTTTGGGGTTTAGGGGTTTAGGGGTTTAGGGGTTTAGGGATTTAGGGATGAGGGTTTTAGGGTGTAGGGTTCAGGGCTTAACCCCAAAGAACGTACGTGTTTCAGGACTCAAACAAAGAAACTGTAATGAGGAACCCTAAAAAAGGTCGGCTATTTGGGGTCCAGGCAGGGTCTTCGGTGAGTGGGGATCTTACGTGCCTTGGGCTTGGGGATAGAGGGGGTATAGAGTTTTGGTGGTGGGGCTTCGGGATATTTAGGGTTAGGAATCTCTCGCCCCTAAACCCTAAACCCTAAACCATTAGGGCTGGGGTTTAAAGTTTAAGCCTTAGGATCTCGGGATCAGGTGGGTAATGGAACCAGGGCTCGAAAGCAAAGTGAATGGCTCGGCTGGGATTTCGGGTGACCTGGTAATATATTTCAGTATAGCTATCATAATCTAAGGACTGAAGGGGGACATGCTACAGTATGATTTGCTATGAGCCGTTATTCAAAACCATTTTTTCGGGACCGCGGACTGGAGTTTGGATTGCTTTGCAGTCTAGGGCTAGGGCAGATAAAGCACAACCGAGAGTCGCGCTAAAGTGCTGCAACTCATAGTATCACATCCAATGCGCCCACTTTGGGTTTAGTCAAGGTTCAGAGTTTAGGGTTTGGTGTTTGTTTGGTGTTTGGGGTTTAGGGCACAAATTATGCACCTAAGACGCTATGCCGCTCTGAATTGGGGCCCATTCTGCGCGCATCATCGCAGAAAGCCGCATCATTCTAGAATTGTGCTATCAAGCAGCATAATAGGGAGCCTTAGTAATTAGAATGTGCGTTCTGTGTTGTATTTATACTATACTTATAACAAGGACCCCAGAGGACCAATATTTGAAATTGTTCTGGCCTCTACATAACTCTACAACCCTCAAACCCTAACCCCTAAACCCTAACCCCTAAACTCTAAACCCCTAAGCCTAAGCCCTAAACCGTCTTGAACCCTGGGCCTGTTTTCTTGCCGGGGGATTTGCTGAGCTTCTCCTCTGCGGCAGAGTCTGGCGCATCGTCCTCTGCAAGTGTCACGTAAACCTGAGCCTCAGTCGTCCAGGTGGCTTTGTGGTTTAGGGCTTAGGCCTAAATTTTTGCTTTTCACTCCAGAAAACACAAGAACCCAACGGTCAAAGTTCACAAGCTGAACCCTGAACGTCCTGAGACCTACAATCCTAAACCCGCCCATGGAACCAAAACAAGAGTGGGCCCGGAAAGCAAAACAGCCAGTCAACCTCAAGCTCTATCTATCTGCTTTTATATACACACACATATACACACTCACCCTGAACCCTTTTTTGAACCCAGACTCTGCCAATCAGCTGGGAAGCAGCACGTCCTGAACCCTAAACCCCTAACCCAAAAAGAAGAACAAAAACTCAACGGCCACGCCAAGCAGCGATGAAGGGCTCCGTCGTCCGGGCGTACGGGCCCAGAACGAGGGAATTGACGGGTAGCGGCGCTCTCCAGCCGATGACCTTTGATAGAGGGTTTCGGGTTTAGGGTATAGAGTATACGGTGTAGGGTTTAGGGCTTTCGGGGTGTGGGGTTTAGGGGGTTAGGGTATAGGGTGTAGGGTTTCCGGCATAGGGTTCAGCATACAGATGTTCTGGGATGGGATGGTCTCTTGACCAGGGGCTTGCACAGTAATAGAGGGCATTGAAATTTATGCCACCCTAAACCCTGTGGAAGGTCTGTTTGTGAGCCGCGCTTTGTACTTGAATGTTTCCATAGGAGGAAGCCGAAGAAATGCCAGTGCTAAGTGTTTAAAGACTCCTATATGTAACCTAAACCCCCCAAACCCCCCATCCCGAGGCCCTGAACCCTAGACACCCTATAACTCTAAACCCTAAACCCTAAACTCCACCTTGAGACAGCCCCCACCTGGAGGCCCAACTTCCGCGCCATGCGCTCGACGAGCTTTTTGGAATCCTCTCTCTTCTCCTCCTGGGGGCCCACAGGGCGGCTCTTTGGGTTTAAGGTGTAGAGCTTAAGGCTTTACGGCTGTCTTTATGGGGCTTGCAGGGTTTAGGGTAGGGTTTACGGCTTGTTGGTGGATTGGTACACTGCTCGATTTGCGCGTGCGTTTTGTGTTCAGAGGGTTCCGGGCGTCTCATTATAATTGTAGGGCTTTGGGTTTGGGGGTAAGGAGGAAAAGTTCCCCTTCAGTCGATGTGGTAGTTTCAGAAAATAGAGGACCCTGACATTGCAAAACCCAGAAATACTGCACCCCATACTGATTGGCGTCATGCTTTGATTATCGGGCGCATACAATTTTCCAACAAGAAGTAAGCCTGGGGCGGCATGAAGAGGTTTCCAACGCCGTAGCTGCCAGCTTCAGGCAAGGTAAACGTGCAGCAGGTTCGGTAATATTCGTCCGGGATAGAGATCATGATCCCCACGCCGTCGCCGTCATCCTCATGGGCTTGCTTGGCGCCGCGGTGCGTCATGCGAACCACCATGTCTCGGGCATCCGTGAGCGTCTTGCGGGAGGGTGTCTTGCCTAGGTTGGCAGTTTAAAGATAGTTTAAGGCCTCTGAGTAGTACGTATCCGCATTCAGAACCCCATGAATCATGGAATTTCAGAACGGCCCAATAACATACCGAGTTGCCCATATCCATGACGGCACCAACTCCGCACGCATCCGACTCATATGTCGGGTCATAGAGACCCTGTCTCTGGGGTGTCTGGTCCCAATGCAACGCCATCTCCAACGGCAAGTTGCTACAGTCTCCGTGATCCGAAACGGCTGCAGCCACGCATGTTGGGTTCAGAGCTTCGAGCTAGGGCCGGCTAGGGAGACGAGCTATGGCTACCAATCGCCGACTTCGCTACCGTCAGGAGAGAGACAGCACAGAAACGTGCAAAACAATAACAATGTCAACAAAATCTCTCTGTCCGCATACCAGGAGCATCTGCTGGGTCAACTCCGGCACCGTCAGGGCACGGTACTGCTGAGAGCCCCGGGAAGTCAGGGGAGCGAAGCCGGTCATGAAGAAGTGCAGGCGAGGGAAGGGCACCAGGTTCACCGCAATCCTGGGCCCGTGTCTGCGCTTTGCAGGGGATCAAAAGCTCTTGCTGGGGCTTTGGCGTGCCCGGCTCGGTACGTACATCGTCTTCGCTCCTCTCTCACAACTCGGACAAGCCAGATGAGGTCCCACGGCGCGCAGTCGGACATCAGCAGATGCAAAACATGCAAATTGTAGGAGGCAGTACAAAGCAGCCAGTTACAGCAAGAAACATAGAAAGACATCGCATGCCTCGCAGTATAACTTCGGCATAGCTTGAGGTTTAGCATGACCCCTTGAGAGCCCAGGAGCTTTCGCAGGTCGCAGTTCAGCTGCCCTGGGAAGCGCAGGCAGCAGGTCACGCCGCTCATGGCGGCGGAGACCAAGTGGTTCAGGTCGCCGTAGGTAGGTGTCGTAAGCTTCAGAGTTCCTCGGTCGGCGTGATTGTTGTGGGCTAACTCTGAGGGTTACTTTGGTACCAACACAAAAGGATAAGACTGGATAAGGACTCCTAGAGGTAAATAAGACGGTCACGAGCTCTTTTACTCTCTCCTGGCCTGCTTCGCATCGTCTTTTGCACTCTCCGTCTGTGCGCATTTCTTGCGCGAGTTCTGGGCTTTTTTGCCTCTATAGGGTTGAGGCTAACTGCGGATCGGCTTCTGAAGCAGATGTCGTACAAAGCCTCGTTGTCAAGCAGGAAGGACTCATCCGAGTTCTCCACAAGCTGATGGAAGCTCAACACTGCATTGTATGGCTCGACCACGGTATCCGACACTTTGGGCGAAGGGATCACGGAGAATGTTTCCATAATGCGATCAGGGTACCTCAGTGCCGCAGATCGCGCGCAACAAAACATCACAATTCGGACGAAAATACCATATTCATCGGCCCCGAACCACCGCGATGACGAACAGCCACCGCGACGACAACGACAACAACAACGACAACAATGACAACAACAAGCAGAACGACAACCACAACCACAACCCCAACAACCAGCACCTACAAACAACACCAACAGCAGCAGCAGCAGCAGCAGCAGTAGCAGCAGCAGCACAGTAACAGTAGCAAGAGCAATGTCGAGATCATAAAGGCCATCTTCATCCGATTCATCATCGCCACCGTTGCGGTGTGCATTCTCGTCAGCGTCGAAACCGTCTTCGAACCATATCTTCTTCTGAAAAGCCATGTCAACACAATAGCCACCCTCCCTGCTGCCGTCCTCAGCACCATTACCATCACCACCACCATCGCAACCATAAAGCTCGTCATCTAAACCATCGCCAACCTTATCATGCTGGCGCCTTCTGCCACCAACCCTCGGCCGTCTGGCTGCAGCCACAACAACTGCGTCTAGGGTTTAGGGTTTACCTATAGTCTCCATTGTAGTTGCGTTTTGGGGATACCTCATAAAATCCTTAATATATGTTTGGTTAAACTAAAAAAGGAACTACAATGGAGACTATAGGTAGGGTTTAGGGTTCACAAGAGCAACCGAGAGACTCCTCGCGCACCTTTGAGATGAGAAGTGTTCCCATGCCTGCCCCGGTGCCGCCACCAAGAGAGTGGCAGAGCTGAAAGCCCTGGAGGCAGTCGCAGCCTGCAAAGGACTTCTGCCTAGTTTACCGATCGAGGTTTCTAAGTGTGAGGCCAAATCTAGCTTCAAGAGTCCCTTCTGTCTGGAGCTCATCGTTTGAAGCTCAGTAGAACCATAAACAGGCGATGGTTGGGCGCTGCGTGAGAATATGAACACGCGTTCCGTAAGGCATGCAGAAACGTGGTCTCTTTGCCGTATCATTGAACTCAAGCCTCTCAAGACGTTGGGGATGTGATCTGCCTTCCGCCTCCTTCCGCACGACGTCGAGCACCGAGTCAATGAGTTCCGCACCCTCAGCTTTCCGGAAATGCACCCCGAAATCCTACATCCCTTCGGATGTAACTTTCGAATAGGAACTGCTGAAGCTAAGCTCGGGGCTTCAGTGTAATGACCTCGATTTCTGCCAAGCACGACACACCCTGGCGCAGTTTGTCGCAACACTTGCGAACGGGCGCCCGACCCTTGGCCCAGTTGTTCCCAGCTCCTGCGCAAGAACTGTCATCGGCTCGCACGCCATAGCACACCACACTATACTTTGTCTGGGTGTCTGAGGCAGTGCTGTGCTCTGTCCTGTCTGTCCAAAGACGAAGTTGTCGGGACGGAAGAGCTGACCGAAGGGCCCGGCGCGGACGGAGTCCATGGTTCCTCGAGTCAGCTGCACTCAGAAGCTCAGCCCGAAAATGAACAAGGTCCCTTATAATGACTCTTATAAGGATCCTTTATCACAAGCCCTATAAAACACTGGTACTAAGAGCCTAAACCTTTCAACTAAGTTATTGAAGAAACTAAATTAACCCCAAAGGTACCGGGCCCCGCCTGGCTCAAGGTCCATCAAGATGGCGCGAGGCACGTAGCGTCCACCCGTCGCCTCATTGAAATCGACGCGTGTGTGAGTGAACTGCACGCAACCTAGCTCCGTAGAGGGTTAGCGGCAGGAGCGGCTGGAGCAAAAGCTCGGGCAATGCGGGAAAGAAGTGCGGGTTAGGGAAAGGGTGCTGAAATCCTAGACGTCTTCGGCAACAAGCCGACCAAGTTTGGCAATTGCGATCCCAAGCATATAGGCAGCAACTCGCCTCATTGAAATAGACGTTGATGCCTCGGGAAAGGGGGCTTTTAAGGCGCCGCTTTTACAAGCAACTGTTAGGGCTAAGACCCTTTTTACACCTGGACTACGCATATGCCAGGAACCGAGGCTCTTGGCCCTAAACCCTAAACCCCTAAACCCCTAAACCCCTAAACCCCTAAACCCTAAACCCTAAACCCGGGGTTTCGGCGGGCTTTGAGGTTGAAGGGTTTGATGGTTTTGTTATGTTTGGGGGAGCTTGGGCTCTACCCTAACGTGAAACTCCTGAACTCCTAAGCCCTATTGACAGGCTCGCATGTCATGATGACTTTAAGACGAAAAAAATCTGAAACTCAACCCGGGTGCCTACACATGAGATCCGAATCGAAAGCCCGAAAGAAAGCCAGTGTCGGCATGCAAAGGATTCAGGATGATCGCCTTAGCAGGTGACTTAGCGTTCAGGTGCGGATGAAGTGTGGAGACCCGTATGATCCGCAGATGACAAAGGGGCAGGCATTTTCGTCCCAGCCTTAGCCGTCATATCATCTCACGACAGGGCCTGACAACAACCCCTGAACGTTCTGTAAGGAAGCTCGGCACAACGTACGTGGCTGGCTTCAGGCGGCGAAATGCTGCCCGTCAGCTCCCGCTATGGGCTTCACCCTTCGGCCCTAAACCCTTCAGAGCACCATAAACTTTGCATCAGTTCCGGTAAAGGCAAAACCCTACACCCACCAAAAGCCCATCGGCCCCAAAACCCGCAAAGGAACCCTAACAACTTTGAAACCCTAACCCTCAAAGGAGCCCTTGAAGCAGCCCCTCAAGGAAGCCTCAAAGGAACCCAAAAAAGGCAACCCTTCAAGGGAGCCCCATGCAGCGATCAAGCCAAAACCGCAGCCCAAAGGGCGCTCCAGCTGAAGATCGGAGTCCCCATGGTACGTTCCGGTTGGGTCAATGCCTGGGCTCTGTGATTAATTAGGAGGGTGTAGGCTTTGTAGACTGTAATTAGAGCTTGTAGGGCTTCTAGGCTTTGGGGGTTATCGACTATAGACTCGTCGGGCCGTTAGGGTTTGCCTTCCCTCCTACCTAGCAAGGACAAAGCCCGCGTTGCAAGGTAGCTCCGAGAACAGTGGACTAGGAGAGGCCTTCACATTGAAAACCATCCAGTTTTGGAAGACTGAGTTGTACAAGCTACATCGTGAACAGCTTCCTCTTCAAGGGCTCGTAGGGATTAGGGTTTCGACTCTCACAGCTTGGGCAATCTGGGTGAGGTGTCTGGGTTCGGCGTGGACATTGACTTGTCGGCGGGCTGTCTTTGACCGCGGGTGGTCTCTTGCCCACTCACCTATCCCAACATCCCACAAAACCAAAGTACGGGAAGCTTAGTTCGGGCACACAAGACCAGTGAAACTACTAAGGGCTTCAAAGGGGCAGAACAGGAGGTTTGTTTTTTTGTTTAAGGGGCCTTTTCTGTCGCTTGCGAACAGGAGGGTTTGGGGCTTAGGATGTTGATAGGGTTTAGGGCTTAAAGGGTTTGGGAAATTTTGGCGGACTTGATAGTGAGTTGTGGGAACAGGGATTCGGGCTTCAGAATTTTAGGATTCAGGTTTAGGGATGTAGGGTCTAGGTTCCCAGCGTCAGGTGTCTCGTTTAGGGATTTGCAAGCTCCTTCAAGAAGGCAGAGACCACACAAGTACTGTTTAGGGTTGTAGGGCTTGGGGTATGGGTTGCCAGAAAAGGGACTCAAAAAAGTGAATCCACCGCTCCTCTCAACCCCAGCCCTAGACCCAACATTTAAGATCCTATGTAAATCTCCCAACCCAGATGCCATGCTCATCGGCGATGACTTCCCAAAACTTGGCTCCGATCTGGTTTCCGCACCTGACTCTTCGGCAAAAGCCGGAGAGAGCGAGAAAGAGAAACAGACAAACAGTCAGACAGATAGACGAGAGAAGCGAATGAAAATGAAATTGACTACAAACCTTCCTCCGATCCGGTTTCAAGTCACACTTCCGCGGACAGTGTCGCACCTTCCTGAGCCCAAACCCTGAACCATGCACCGAAAGTCGGTGCCCTCACCGGAAGCCATGGAACTGGCCGCCCTGAACGTGCACGAGCTCGCGCATGGCTGCAGGAATTTGACCTCGAAGCTTCGCAAACTTCAGGAATGCAGAATCGCACAGCAACGAGCGCCTGGAGTTTAGGATTGTTAGGTTTAGGGCTTACATGGGGATGGGAAGACTCACGCAGAGGTCTCACCATTTGGCGTGCACGCCCTGTGTGTGGTGCCGAAGCTCGACGGCACATCCTATTGTTCATGAAGGCCTTACAAGCGAAGCGCCTAGGAAGTTAACCTTACACAATGTCTTGACCTTTATCGGCTCTACTTAGTGCTCAGTACAACAAGATTATGAACAAGCAGTTCATGGAGTCAACAAGTCCACATTAAGCTGATACCGTCCCCTGCAGCTCACACCAAAATAAACTTGAGAAGGAATCCTAGATCCTACGTAAACCCTGAAAGGAATTCTCAAAGCTACATACAAGCTACAGCCCCATACCAGCTAGCTACGGAATATGCCTCATGTGAAGGATCCCGCCGTTTGGGGTTTAGGACTCAGGGTTTAGGGATTAAGGTTTAGGTTAGGGTTTACACTCTCACAACTCGGACAAGCCAGGCGGGGATCCATGTTCGCAAGTCGGTGTGAAAACATTGGAAGTCAGGATGCCTGCAACTACGCCAAGAACAGCCAGAATAATTCCAGAAACCAAACAAGATGAAGCGCGAGGCATCCCCGTGCGATCAATACCCTTGTAGTAGGAAGACCTCGCAACACATGGAAGTCAAAGCCCAAAGTGAAAATAGCCCTTCCTCCTACTACAAGGATGTCGTACCTGTACCTGCAGGCATTTTAGCCAGCAGTATTGACCTAAGGAGCTGACTCTCCCTCAAAACAAGCAGTCAGAACGATCGACACTAAGTCATCAGACACCCGCTAATGAACCAACCGGCCTTCGGGAGCTTAGGATTGCTTACAGGACGGTCATACAAGTCTACAGGTTGATTACGTGTAGGCTCTACGTGTGAAACACTGCTTGGCTCAGCACTGCTCCAACATCGGTTGCGCTTGCTCTCATGCATCGGTACCAGGCGAAACTCGGTTTACATCAGACATGCACAAAGACCAAGGTCTGTTATGCTCAAACAGCACCTAAGGCCAGCGATCCCGCAGGGTACACCAGCGATTTGTGCATGAGCACTTTTCAGCGACCTTCGCATTCGTCTCCCATGTCCTGGCAACTGCCACCTCTCTCAATGGCCGCCGTCTGCAGTCGTCTGAAAATTACTTCTCCAGTCAACGAGAGGCTGGTTGAAATTCCAGCGACCCAGCGCAGAGGGCGTCGTCTTGAGGCGCGATCTGTTCAGCTCGGTCGAGATGGCAGCGCCGTGGCACATTGGGGAGCTGTCCCACGCCAGTGTAAAGGCCACGTTGTACAACTTTCTGAGTTCGCACAGTCATTCAGAGAAAACTCCTGCAGATTTCAGCGGCTCTTGGAAAGCGTTTCTCGTTTGTTGCGTCCTATACAAACTGACAGAGGCAGAAGCACAGGGGCAAGGTCCATGGCATGCACGGTCGCGGGTTTGTGGATTCTTAAGGAGCAAGTCCGGAGACTAAAACATACTGGAAGTGTTGGGGTACCAAGGGGGACTCCCTACGGCGAAAGAACGACGATTCACCCCAACGACGGATTAAAATCACGCTACCATCACGGTCGTCACCAAACGATGCGATCCAGGCACCATCCATGCAAATTAAGGCAGTCCGGCAAAAGGCAAGGTCAGGCAGTCCAGCAGAAGAGGGTGAAACAAAGGCAGTGCGCAAGGCCACAGTCCAGCATGAATTCGAGGACATTGCAGAGTCCAGGTATCACACAGCCTGCAATAGCGCGCATGCGTCTTGCACACAAGGCGAGCCATTTCACTGGGAGTCAAGAACCTCGCTGACATCGTGGGTATCTTTGTCTGGGGCTGCAAGCTGCATTACCTCAAGCAACGTCAACTGTTTCATGCGGGGGTCCTCTCCAAAAAGACGCCCGTGTGTAGCACAATGGAACATAGTTCGGCTAGGGAGGTGAAAGCCCAGGTTCAACAAGCGCTGTCTGCAGAAGCCCTCAACACAAGCAGCATTTAGAGTAGTAAAAGCCACAAGTATGATGCGTTGATTGACCCTGGCTTGCTTGGCCACATGTCCTGCATGTAGCACCTTCCGTGCATTCAGAAAGAAAGGCCGCCGCTCCAACGACACTACGCTTCCCATAACTTGGTTCCCAAGATGCCACTTAGGGGTTGAGCCAAGGTGGAAGGGCAAGGACCGTTCTTGGTGTCCCTATAGGCGATCCGCGCACCCTCGGCGAATCACGAAGCATGAGTAGGGATGCGAAGGGGCCAGGCTGAAAATAAAACGATTCACAAGTAAGCCAAAGTATGGACACTCAATACTAAGCGAAAGCAAAGAATCGTTGCAGCGAGGGTTCGAGCCTGCCAACAGGTACACTGCTCTAGAACTTGCATCCCTGCGCATATACGACCGCGGAAACATCCGGAAAAGTTCCAGACTTTCGCACTTGCTGGGTGGTTCATCTCTCTGCAGCAAACGACAGGCTCGGATCTCAATGGGCCTTTGAAAAAAGTCCTCGGGGAAGCCACAAGAAACCCGGCACCAAAAACTGGGGTACCAGGGGACTCAACAGAAGTAGTTGAACAGGAG